CTTAAAATATATCCCAATCAACATGGTTTCCTACCAAAAAGGTCCACATTTACAAATCTAACAATCTTTACGCAATATATACATGAAGCATTGAATAGGAAAACACAGGTAGATGTTATCTACACTGACTTAGAAAAAGCATTTGATGAGGTAAGTCACAATACTATTTTGGATGGTCTGGAGGCAATGGATGTTCCTCCATACCTGAATAATTTAATTCAATCTTACTTAGGAACAGAATCAAGTAAAAGGTATCAGTTTGTAGAATTAAAAGGTAGTCGGTCTACTCTTTTTGTTAGTTCTTCTGGTGTGCCCCAAGGGTCAAATCTTGGGGCCCTTCTTTTTGTTATTGCTTTCAATAAAATTCTTTGCAAAGTCAAAAATGTGGAATCATTGGCATTTGCCGACGATTTTAAATTATTTATTGAAATCACCTCGATTGAAGATTGCGAAATTCTTCAAAGAGAATTACAAGATTCAGCGAGTTATTGTCAGAAAAATAGCTTTAACTTAAATTTGAACAAATGCTCCTGTCTCAGTTTCAGTCGTAATAAAAACCCAATTGAATTTGACTATACAATAAATAATGAAAAACTAAAACGTGTTTCTGAACAAAAGGATTTGGGTGTAACTTTTGAAGATAATCTTTCATTTTCTTCTCATATTATTTCGAAGATTGAGAGTGCCCAGAGAGTTGCAGGGTTTATCTGTAGAAATACTAAACAGTTCAATATTGATGTCAGCATCCACCTATTTGATAGTCTGGTATTACCGATACTGGAGTATGGTAGTATAATTTGGTCACTTGGTCAGTATCACATTTGGATAAGTATTATCGAGGGAGTTCAAAGAAAATTTTTGAAGGCTATGCACTTTAGAAAGTACGGATTTTATCCACAAAGAGGTTGTGACAATGACTTCTTGCTAGGTTTATTTAATAGACTGTCTCTAAATCAAAGAAGAACTAAAATATTTCTCGCAACAATGTACAGAATACTAAAAGGTTATGTTGATTCTCCAGAAATAGTCGGTCAACTTCCTTTTGCCATAAATCGTGTCAACTCAAGAACAAAAAATGTTTTTTATTTAGCTTACCCACGGACGAATTTATATAAAAGCTCTCCAATATATAATTTGTGCAATATGTTCAATAAATATGCTTCAGATACTGATATTGATAGCACTACCTACAGACAGTTCAAACGAATAATTGACTTAAAAATACGCAATAGTTAGCATGTAAGTTTCGTGTGTACTGTTCGTGTTTAATGTTGGTTTTACTTGCATTTATGTCGTTTACATTTTCACGTTAGATGTTGTAATAGTTATTAATTTGATGACATTTTACAAAACTTTTTATTGACATTTTACATACTTTTAGAATAAGCATAGGTATCTGTAATTGGCTTTTTGGCTGTAGATACTGTTTGAAATAAATAAATAAATAAATAAATTAATTAATTAGGTAGTTATTTGTCTAGGAAGCGTTATGTCAAAAATTTGACATCTGGTTTCTTTTCTTTTCACCGAACACGTTATTTCTCAGGTTTGGTATAAGAAAGGCCGCATTTTGAAAAGAATCTAATTCTAGTGGAGGTGGAATGAAATTTCAGAGTTCTGCATATTTTAATGCTTCAGGTCCTAAATAATACCGGTTTTTGAAAGCTTTTTATACTAGGTATTTAATTGTTTTCGTTATAGTTAGCAAAAAACATCAGAACTCTGCCAATTTCATTCATGTCCTCTACTGTTCATATTTTGAAATAATTTTTTTCAATACTAAAATTAACAAGAATGAGCTAAACCAGTATTTTTTTTTCAAGCTGCCATTTCACAAGAGATTTACATTCTCAGCGATACATTCGCACAAACGATGTCGTTGACTTTTACCCAAAATCGCACACGTAGTGATGGTCCCACGCCCACTTTACCAACACTTTCAAGACCGACAATTGCAGAGTCCATCGCCCCAATAAGTTTCAGGAGACAAGTTTTATTCGAACTATATGGAGACGGCGACGCCGACAAATAAGGAAAAATACGAACTAATACTATAAACTTACAAAGGGACTGAAGGCAAGTTTCCACTAACTTGCCCCCAACACCGGGAAAAGTCAAATCAGCTGTAGACGCTAAATCCCTTGCCACTTCTAAAGCAAAGAACTTGAGCTCTGAGGAGCGCGTCATGGATTTCGGAAATGAACCAAAATCGAAAGATCCACGAATAAGAGGGGAACGAATAGGGTCCATGCTTCTGCTGAATAACAATCAATCCAGTCAAGACTTGATCCATAGGCCTTCTAGCGAAGTTCCGCAAATATTCTGGGATAACATTCATTTACTAGAAAGGCCTGGAGCCATTAAACGACCAGCACCTGAAACAATAAGTGAGTTGTTTTTTTCTTTTTTTTTACCGAACACGTTATTTCTCAAATTTGGTATAAGAAGGGCCGCATTTCGAAAAAAATCTAATTCTAGTGGAGGTGGAATGAGATTTCAGAGTTCTGTATGTTTTAATGTTTCAGGTCCCAACTAATACCGGTGTTTGAAAGCTTTCTATAATAGGTATTTAATTGTTTTCGTCATAGTTACCTCGCAAAAAACATCAGAACTCTGCAAATTTCATTGGTGTCCTCTACTATCCATATTTTGATATAAATTTTTTCGAAACAAAAATTAACAACAATGAGCTGAACCAGTATTTTTTTCTTTAAAGCTTCCATTTCTCAAGAGATCAACATGCTCAGCGACACATTCGCACGAGCGATGTCGTTAACTGTTGCTCAAAAACGCAAACGGAGTGATGGTCCCACGCCCACGTCACCAACACTTTCAAGACCGACAATTGCAGAGTCCATCGCCCCAATACATTTTCATAGACATAATGTTTTAATTGGCGATCCTGACAAATTTGCATAAAGTCGAACGGATAGGTACTATAAACTCACAAAGGGACTGGAGCAACTTGCCTCCAACACCGAGAAAAGTAAAATCGACTGTAGACGTTCAATCCCTTGCCACTCCTTAAGCAAAGAGCTCAAGTCTGTATGGCTTGAGCTCTGAGGACCTATTGCAGAATAATAATCCATTCAATAAAAATTTGACCAATATGCTTTCTCGCGGAGTTTCGCAATTGTTCTCAGGACCTCCTGGACCGATGATGGATCTTAAACCTACAGAATTTATGGGCGGCGTTCTACACTGGCCTGTATTGCAGCTTATTCCAGGATCTCCAAGGCTCATGTACGGACCGAATAGTTTTAGTTGGCTAGGGGGTGCCAATAATCAAGGTAGATATTCCGATCGATATGATCACGGTGTCATCTGTAGCCCCAAATCGCTCAGTAGCGGTAGATTTGAAAGGGAAAATGAAGATCGCGATAGAAAAAAAAGTTCATCAGAATCAAAAAACAGTCATACTAGTAGCACTACTGATGCGAATCGTTCCAATAAAGAAGAAAAAAAAAAAACAGAACAGATCAGGCTGAGAGATACAAAGAGACTTTTGGGACAGTCTCAATTAAAGCCACTAATAAATCGGCAAGGATTCCTAGAGAAGTCAAGAAACCGACGTTTTCCATACTAAATCATAAACCGACAGACTCAAAAATGGCGAAGACTGTGGAAGTATTTAATTCAAAGATGCGATCTACTGGGTTAGAAGACATTGCAAAGCCTCAGAAGCAACTACCCACCATTCGACCAGAGCTTTCATGGCCACCTAGACAGCTCAGCTTCCCCATCATGCCATCAAAGAAAAAACTTATAAACGATAACACTCATTTACCAGAAAGGCCTAGAGCCATTAAACCAGCACCTGAAACAATAGGTGAGTTGTTTTTTTCTTTTTTTTTTACCGAACACGTTATTTCTCAGGTTTGGTACCTACAATAAGAGTCACATTTTGAAAATAATATAATTCTAGTGGAGGTGGAATGAAATTTCAGAGTACTGCATGTTTCAGGTCCTAAAAAATAGCGGTTTTGGAAGCTTTCTATACTAGGTATTTTATTGTTTTCGTTATAGTTACCTAGCAAAAAACATCAGAACTCTGCCAATTTCATTGGTGTCCTTCTCTACTGTCCATATTTTGATATAAATTTTTTCGATACAAAAATTAACAACAATGAGCTGAACCAGTATTTTTTTCTTTAAAGCTTCCATTTCACAAGAGATCAACATGCTCAGCGACGCATTCGCACGAGCGATGTCGTTAACTGTTGCTCAAAAACGCATACGGAGTGACGGTCCCACGCCCACGTTACCATCACTTTCAAGACCGACAATTGCAGAGTCCATTGCCCCAATAAGTTTCAAGAGAGAAGTCTTATTCGAACTATATGGAGACGGCGATGCCGACAAATTAGCAAAAAGTCGAACGGCTAATATAAACTTACAGAGGGACTGGATGGAAGCTTCCACTAACTTCCCTCCACTACCGGGAAAAGTTAAATCAACTGTAGACGTTGAATTCCTTGCCACTCCTAAATCAAAGAGCTTGAGCTCTGAGGAGCGCGTCATGGATTGAGCTCTCAGGAGCTATTGCCTAATAATAATCCATTCGATCAAAATTTGATCAATATGCTTTCTCGCGGAGTTCCGCAATTGTTCTCAGGACCTCCTGGACCGATGGTGGATCTTAAACCTGCAGAATTTATGGGCGCCGTTCTACACTGGCCTGTATTGCAGCCTATTCCAGGATCTCCAAGGCTCATGTACGGACAGAGTAGCTTTAGTTGGCTAGGGGGTGCCAATAATCAAGGTAGATATTTCGATCGATATGATCACGGTATCATATGTAGCCCCAAATCGCTCAGTAACAGTAGATTTGAAAGGGAAAATGAAGATCGCGATGGAAAAAAAGTTCATCAAAATCAAAAAACAGCCATACTAGTAGCACTAAAGATGCCAATCGATCCAATAAAGAAGAAAAAGCCAGAACAAATCAGGTTGAGAGATACAAAGAGATTTTTGGGAAAGTCTCAATTATAGCCACTAATAAATCGGCAAGGATTCCTAGTAAAGTCAAGAAACCGTAGTTTTCCATACTAAATCGTAAATCGACCGACTCAAAAATGGAAAAGACTGTGAAAGTATTTAATTCAAAGATGCGATCTACTGGGTCAGAAGAGATTGCAAAGCCTCAGAAGCAACTACCCGCCATTCGACCAGAGCTTTCATGGCCACCTAGACAGCCCAGCTTCCCCATCCTGCCGCCAAAGAAAAAAATTATAAACGATAACACCCATTTACCAGAAAGACCTGGAGCCATTAAACGACCAGCACCTGAAACAATAGGTGAGTTGTTTTTTCTTTTTTTTTTTACCGGACATGCTATTTCTCAGGTTTGGTACCTACAAAAAGGGCCACATTTTGAAAAAAATCTATAATTCTAGTGGAGGTGGAATGAAATTTCAGAGTACTACATGTTTTAATGTTTCAGGTCTTAAATAATACCGGTTTTTGAAAGCTTTTTATACTAGGTATCTTATTGTTTTCGTTATAGGTACCTAGCAAAAAACATCAGAACTCTGCCAATTTCATTGGTGTCCTTCTCTACTGTCCATATTTTGATATAAATTTTTTCGATACAAAAATCAACAACAATGAGCTGAACCAGTATTTTTTTCTTTAAAGCTTCCATTTCACAAGACATCAATATGCTCAGCGACACATTCGCACGAGCGATGTCGTTAACTGTTGCTCAAAAACGCATACGGAGTGACGGTCCCACGCCCACGTCACCAACGCTTTCAAGACCGACAATTGATTGCAGAGTCCATCGCCCCGATAAGTTTCAAGAGACAAGTTTTATCCGAACTATATAAAGACGGCGATGTCGACAAATTAGCAAAAAGTCGAACTGATACTATAAACTTACAAAGGGACTGGAGGCAATTTTCCACTAACTTGCCTCCAACACCGGGAAAAGTCAAATCAGCTGTAGACGTTAAATCCCTTGCCACTACTAAAGCAAAGAGCTTGAGCTCTGAGGAGCGCGTCATGGATTTTGGAAATAAACCGAAATCGAAAGATCCACGAATAAGAGGGGAACGAATGGGGTCCATGCTTTTGCCGAATAATAATCGATCCAGTCAAAACTTGATCAATAGGCCTTCTCGCGGAGTTCCGCAAATATTCCCAGGACCTACTCAAGGTTTTTCGGACGGCGTTCTACACCGGTCTGTATTGCAGCGTATTCCAGGATCTCGCAAATCGACAGACCCAAAAGCGGCGACTGTGAAAGAGATGGCAAAGCCTCAGGAACAACTACCCACCATTCGACAAGAGCTTTTATGGCCACCTAAACAGCCCAGTAAAAACAGTAAGTACAAAATCCCTTGAGCCTTATGAGAAATTACCAGCTCCTGAGTACCAGCAACCTGGGCCCGGATTCTATCGTTACTCGTGCAAAAGTACTTACCTGACGATAGACGATAATATCGAATCGCAGCGTTGCCAGCGCTATTACGTTCGTAACAGATCTATTACTTGAGGCAATTACATATTTATTACGCTACTAGCTAATTACTCGCTGCGTTGCCAGCGTGAAAATACATTCTGAAATAATACACTTTGTTCCAAATTTCTTTGTTGATTTTATAGAAGTTTTTTTTTAAATCCGATACCAGAGTCGCTTGCCAGTGAGTTCAGTGACGCATTTTAAGCACTCCAGAGCTGCTCTAGAGCGCCCCGGGCTGTTTATATGCGTTCCAGTGTATCAGAGTTTCGCGCAACTGAACTTCTTTTTTCGGGATAAAAAATAGCCTATATCACTCCCCTCTAAAGCCGAATTCGATTGACCTTATTAGATCGATCTGATTCAATTTAAGTGAACCACATTGTGTTCGATTGAGGTTGGATCAGTGCACCCTCATCAACAAAAAAATTATCTAGATCAGAAGAAGTTCACTTAAATTGAACCCAAATCGATCTAATCTAGGTCAATCGAATTCGGCTTATATAGAGATACGTGGTATTAAATTCAAGATCGGTCCAGCCGTTCTCGAATTAAAAAAATAATAAAGTTACGTCGGTTGAATGCGCAAGCCTAAATAAATGAAATGTGGCAACGTTGTTTCATGTTGTCAAAAAAAGTTGGGTTATGTTGTTATGTAATGTGAATGACTTTGTTTATAATTAAATTAATAAAAATTTATTTCTTTTTCCGAGATGCGTAACCTATTCACAAACCTTTCTTGGAATGGCCATAACAACCTACCAAAGTTTCATCGTAATCGGATAAGTGGTGTAGGAGCGCATAAGGCACAAACAAACAAACATTGATTTTTATATATATAGATTACGCCGCTCAGGAATCTATTACGTTTTTCCTGCATGCCCAACTAATTAAAAAATTCTCACAATTGGATTCGAATCAACCAAAGAACCAAAAGTTTCAACCCACTGTACCGGTTACGCCACAGGAACTGACTTTGCTCCTTGCAGCTTGTTTGAGTTTGCATCCTACGATTCTAATTAGGCAATCTCATGACCTGTCAAACGAAATACGAAATTCAACACGGAAGTTCAGGTCAGACACCGTGTTGTTTACATTTAGGTTACTGATAGAAATCAATGAAAAATTATTATTTTGTCACATTCTGGACATTTAGGTTTGACATTGGCATTGTCATATTGTCATGTTTGGCATCTACAACGATAAGGACCCTAAACAAAATCCTTTTTTTTATAAACGTCACCACAATTTGACCTGAACGGCCATATTGAAATATATTGCCTAATTTAAAACCTACTTTTGTCTACGAGCGTGCGGAAAAGGGCACTTTTCCGCACGCATTTCAGGTCATGAAAGTAGGTACCACTTTTCCGCACTAGCGTGGAAAACCTATTTTTTCCTCGTATATTATCTGATTCGCTAGTTGCTAATCAGCCACAGAGCGTATGTATGTTACCTACGTCTGATCCTTCACAACGGTGGTTGTGAAGTCAGGAAAGTAGGTTGCTCGTAGTAACTCTGTGCTTTCTTGAAGGTTGGCAGTGAAGGTGCCATCCTCAAGAGTAGAAGCGTTTGCTACACTTTATTCCTACGACTGAATGTTTTTGAGAAAAATGGCAAAATGTAATAGAATGCATATCGAAGGTGGCTACGCGTGTGAAGTTAGCACCCGATTCTCAGCAACGATTTTTCAGGAAAAGCGCATTAGCGCCAGCGGTGGTTGATCAATTTTCGTATTTTGGACAAAGGCAATGATGTGACTTTTTGTTTCTTCTTCAAGTTTTTTCAAATAAAAGTTAGAATAAGTTTCACAGTAAATCACTGTTCACTGATAAAAAAATTCTTTGCGATAAAAAATATTCTTCTTGTAGGAAAGCCTCAACTTTGTTTGTTTGTTTGTTTAGAGTCACACGTCATTTTTATCATAAACGGATACAATACAAAATACAAATAAAATTCGCATGGGAAAATTAATGAAATAGAAACATCTTTCTGAATTTTTACTGATAGAAAATTTCCTACCGATGAAAAATTTTTCCCTTGTGGATATTATGATAGCCTACCCTCATAACTTCATTTTAAAAGAAAAATTAGAGTGACACATCTTCTAGTTTTCGCAAAATAAATATTGTTTTGTGTCATATTGATTCCGTGTTTGGGAACATCTTCTTGAATTTTCACTGATAGAAAATTTCCTACCGATGAGAAATTTTTCCCTTGTGGATATTATGATAGCGTACCCTCATAACTTCATTTTAAAACAAAAATTAGAGTGACACATCTTCTAGTTTTCGCAAAAAAAAAATATTGTTTTGTGTCATATTAATTCCGTGTTTGGGAACATCTTCTTGAATTTTCACTGATAGAAAATTTCCTACCGATGAGAAATTTTTCCCTTGTGGATATTATGATAGCGTACCCTCATAACTTCATTTTAAAACAAAAATTAGAGTGACACATCTTCTAGTTTTCGCAAAATAAATATTGTTTTGTGTCATATTGATTTCGTGTTTGGGAACATCTTCTTGAATTTTCACTGATAGAAAATTTCCTACCGATGAGAAATTTTTCCCTTGTGGATATTATGATAGCGTACCCTCATAACTTCATTTTAAAACAAAAATTAGAGTGACACATCTTCTAGTTTTCGCAAAAAAAAAATATTGTTTTGTGTCATATTAATTCCGTGTTTGGGAACATCTTCTTGAATTTTCACTGATAGAAAATTTCCTACCGATGAAAAATTTTCCCCTTGTAGATTATATAACAGCCTACCCTCATAACTTCATCTTAAAACAAAAATTAGAGTGACACATCTTCTAGTTTTCGCAAAAAAAAATATTGTTTTGTGTCATATTGATTCCGTGTTTGGGAACATCTTCTTGAATTTTCACTGATAGAAAATTTCCTACCGATGAAAAATTTTCCCCTTGTAGATTTTATAACAGCCTACCCTCATAACTTCATTTTAAAACAAAAATTAGAGTGACACATCTTCTTGTTTTCGCAAAAAAAAATATTGTTTTGTGTCATATTGATTCCGTGTTTGGGAACATCTTCTTGAATTTTCACTGATAGAAAATTTCCTACCGATGAGAAATTTTTCCCTTGTGGATATTATGATAGCCTACCCTCATAACTTCATTTTAAAACAAAAATTAGAGTGACACATCTTCTTGTTTTCGCAAAAAAAAATATTGTTTTGTGTCATATTGATTCCGTGTTTGGGAACATCTTCTTGAATTTTCACTGATAGAAAATTTCCTACCGATGAGAAATTTTTCCCTTGTGGATATTATGATAGCCTACCCTCATAACTTCATTTTAAAACAAAAATTAGAGTGACACATCTTCTTGTTTTCGCAAAAAAAAATATTGTTTTGTGTCATATTGATTCCGTGTTTGGGAACATCTTCTTGAATTTTCACTGATAGAAAATTTCCTACCGATGAGAAATTTTTCCCTTGTGGATATTATGATAGCCTACCCTCATAACTTCATTTTAAAACAAAAATTAGAGTGACACATCGTCTTGTTTTCGCAAAAAAAAATATTGTTTTGTGTCATATTGATTCCGTGTTTGGGAACATCTTCTTGAAATTTCACTGATAGAAAATTTCCTACCGATGAAAAATTTTCCCCTTGTAGATTTTGTAACAGCCTACCCTCATAACTTCATTTTAAAACAAAAATTAGAGTGACACATCTTCTAGTTTTCGCAAAAAAAAATATTGTTTTGTGTCATATTGATTCCGTGTTTGGGAACATCTTCTTGAATTTTCACTGATAGAAAATTTCCTACCGATGAGAAATTTTTCCCTTGTGGATATTATGATAGCCTACCCTCATAACTTCATTTTAAAACAAAAATTAGAGTGACACATCTTCTAGTTTTCGCAAAAAAAAAATATTGTTTTGTGTCATATTGATTCCGTGTTTGGGAACATCTTCTTGAATTTTCACTGATAGAAAATTTCCTACCGATGAGAAATTTTTCCCTTGTGGATATTATGATAGCGTACCCTCATAACTTCATTTTAAAACAAAAATTAGAGTGACACATCTTCTTGTTTTCGCAAAAAAAAATATTGTTTTGTGTCATATTGATTCCGTGTTTGGGAACATCTTCTTGAATTTTCACTGATAGAAAATTTCCTACCGATGAGAAATTTTTCCTTTGTAGATATTATGATAGCCTACCCTCATAACTTCATTTTAAAACAAAAATTAGAGTGACACATCTTCTTGTTTTCGCAAAAAAAAATATTGTTTTGTGTCATATTGATTCCGTGTTTGGGAACATCTTCTTGAATTTTCACTGATAGAAAATTTCCTACCGATGAAAAATTTTCCCCTTGTAGATTTTGTAACAGCCTACCCTCATAACTTCATTTTAAAACAAAAATTAGAGTGACACATCTTCTAGTTTTCGCAAAAAAAAATATTGTTTTGTGTCATATTGATTCCGTGTTTGGGAACATCTTCTTGAATTTTCACTGATAGAAAATTTCCTACCGATGAGAAATTTTTCCCTTGTGGATATTATGATAGCCTACCCTTAAACTTCATTTTAAAACAAAAATTAGAGGGACACATCTTGTTTTCGCAAAAAAAAATATTGTTTTGTGTCATATTGATTCCGTGTTTGGGAACATCTTCTTGAATTTTCACTGATAGAAAATTTCCTACCGATGAAAAATTTTCACCTTGTAGATTTTATAACAGCCTACCCTTATAACTTCATTTTAAATAAAACTTAGAGTGACCCTTCTTCTAGTTTTGAATTTTTTTAAAATTTTATTTTTGTGTCATATTGATTTCGTGTTTGAAAACATCTTCTTGAAGGGAAAATTATAGAAAAATGTTTTTATAGGTACCTACCCTT